GAGAGTTCTGTGGGGGTTTCTCCCATAAGCCATTCTGTGGGTCAAGATTGGGAGTGGGGGAAGGTCTGTCCTGTACATCTGTACAGGTAGTGAACTTTGCAAGGACACCTAGTCAGAGTGAAAAATGGGGGCTCTAATCTGGCCTGTGCTCCATTTGCCAAGCTGAGTTGCTGCAGGCAGGGGTACTTCCTCTTAGAGCAAGAGGCCTTCTCTTATTTGTGTGAAGGTGCCATCTCCTCACTGAGCTGTGTGCCCATGGTACTGCAAGCTTCCAGAAGGCCACCTCTTCTCATTAACACACAGGCCCATCAGGTGGGTCGGTCCTCACGGCTGTCGCCACTCTGCGCAGGTCCATGCTGCCTGACGTCATTGATGACTTCCATCTGAAGCAGCCCCATTTCCATGGAACCGAGCCCATCTTCTTCTCCTTCTATGTCTTCTTCACCAAGTTTGCCTCTGGAGTGTCACTGGGCATTTCCACCCTCAGTCTCCAGTGAGTGGGGTGGGGACCTGGGGCAGGACTGAGCAGGGCCAGGCCCCAGGTGCCCCATCTTCACCGCTCTCCTGTCCCCCTGGGTCCCACAGCTTTGCAGGGTACCAGACCCTTAGCTGCTCCCAGCCGGAACGTGTTAAGTTTACACTGAACATGCTTGTGACCATGGCGCCCATAGTTCTCATCCTGCTGGGCCTGCTGCTCTTCAAACTGTACCCCATTGATGAGGAGAGGCGGCAGCAGAATAAAAAAGCCCTGCAGGCGCTGAGGTGAGTGGGGAGGGGACAGGATGCTGGAGAAGGGGACGTCATCACGTCTAAGCCCTCAATTTGTGCCTCCTGTGGCCAAGTCCAGACTCACCCCCTGAAGGTCTTCTCTGGACAGCACCAACACTCAAGTACACACCAGGCACTGTGTTGAGTAGTCTTACCTTTGTTCAACAAATATGGGCTGGGCGTGGTGGCTCATGCCTGTAATCCCAGCCCTTTGGGAGGCCGAGGTGGGCGGATCACGACAACAGGAGTTCGTGACCAGCCTGACTAACATGGTGAAACCCCATCTCTACTAAAAACACAAAATGAGCCAGGCTTGGTGGCACATGCCTGTAATCCCAGCTATTCAAGAGGCTGAGGCAGGAGAATCACTTGAACCCAGGAGGGGAAGGTTGCAGTGAGCTGAGATCATGCCATTGCACTCCAGCCTGGGTGACAAGAGTGAAACTCCATCTCGAAAATAAATAAATAAATAAATAAATAAAACTAAAAGAAATACGTCCTGGCTGCCTACTGTGCGCTAGGCATTAATTGCTCTAGTGAACAAGACAAAAATCTCTGCCCTTAAGGAGCTTGTTATAGGACACATGCATCCATGACCTCCCATATCCCTCCAACAACCCTAAGTATCAGGTTCTTCAGGTTCCCCCTCTGCAGGTGAAGAAGCTGAGGTTTCAGCAGGAGGTGTACCTGGCCCAGCTGAACAGGACGGGGCTGGGATTTGAGCCCCAGCATTCCACCTCAAGAGCCTGCACGCTTTATCAGCCTCCTGGCATGCAGGACCTCGAGTGTGGTCTGAACCCTGCATTTGGGGAAACCAGAGGGCAGAGTGGAGTGAGTCATGCCAGCCCATCAGCCAGCCCAGGCAAGGGTGTAGTTCTGGGGTTTGCGGTGACCTGTGTGCAGCAAGGACAGCAAACAGACCAACCAGCAGTTTCTGGGCTGAAAGTGGGAGTGAGCAAACTCTGTGTCTTGTGGTTCACTTTAGTCCGACAGCAGGCCCAAGATCACATGAGGAAGGAGGCAGGTGAGGCTGGGGAGGGGTAAGGATAGATACTTCCTCCAACCCATTTCCTCTGGCTCTTGCAGGGATGAAGCCAGCAGCTCTGGCTGCTCAGAAACAGACTCCACAGAGCTGGCTAGCATCCTCTAGGGCCCACCACGTTGCCCGAAGCTACCATGCAGAAGACCACATGAGGGATCAGGACCTGTCTGCCCCCTTGCTGAGCAGCTGGACTGCAGGTGCCAGGAAAGGAACTGAAGGCTCAAGAAGGTGGCCCAGGACACTTGCTGTGCTCACTGTGGGGCCGGCCGCTCTGTGGCCTCCTGCCTCCCCTCTGCCCGCCCATGGGGCCAAGCCCTGGGGCTGCCACTGTGAATATGCCAAGGACTGCTCGGGCCTAGCCTGAAACACTAATGTAGAAACCTTTTTTTTTTTACAGAACCTAATTAATAACTTAATGACTGTACATAGCGATGTGTGTGTATGTATATGTCTGTGAGCTATTAATGTTATTAATTTTCATAAAAGCTGGAAAACAGCTGCCTGTTTCTGTCTGTGTCCTCAGCCACTTACTGAGCCCTTCTACCTTAAGACTCAGTTAGGACACACTGAGCCCCAGATGCCACTGGGTGGGGTAGAACACGTCTGAAGGTGTGGCTGGAGTGCAGTGGCGCAATCTTGGCTCACTCGCGATCTGCCTCCCAGGTTCAGGCAATCCTGCTTCACCCTGCCGAGTAGCTAGGACTATAGGTGTGTACCTCCAACCTGGCTGATTTTTAAATTTTGTGGAGAGATGAAGGTCTCACTATACTGCCCAGGCCAGTTCTTCCCATTGGACTCCAGCAATCCTGCCGCATTAGCCTCCCAAAATAGTGGGATCACAGGTGTGAGCCACTGCAACCGGCCTCTTGCTAAGTCAGGACTGTTTCTATTCGAAAAATAAGATAGCCGGGCATGGTGGAGGGTGCCTGTAATCCCAGCTACTTGGGAAGCTGAGGCAGAAGACTCGCTTGAACTCAGGAGGCGGAGGTTGCAGTGAGCTGAGATCGCGCCACTGCACTCTAGCCTGGGTGACAGAGCAAGACTCTTGTCTCAAAAAAAAAAAAAAAAGAAAGATAAGAACACCCCAGTGTAGAGGGATTTAGCTAAAGTCACATAGCCTTGAGCGACCTAATTGAAATTTCATCCCAACTCTGTTAAGACTCCAGTACCATAATCACCACTATCTACTTCCCTGTGCCTGAGAATGACCAGGGACCAGCACACAGACGCTTGCCCTGGCTGTGCCTGTACACTGCGCTTCCTGCTTGGTGCATGCCTGAGCCTATAGGACTGGCAGGGCTGGAGGCCGATGGTGTCCCTGGAGACCTGTGGTTCTTTCTCCACAACTGTTACGATGGTATTGAAAGGTGAGAATGTACCTGCTGAATGTGTGTATCAGATGAAGGAGGATCTCATCACAGATACACTGGTGACAAAATAAAACATAACAAATGCCTCCGGTGAGGAACAGGGTGGTGGAGAAAGCCTAGTTGGGAAACTAGGTGATTTCCATGGTGTGAATAACTCCCACTGTAGCCAATTTCAATATGAGTTATCTTGGATAGTTTGCAGAAAGAAGGTGAGGAGATCAAACTAGCTTGGATAGTCCTTTCTGCAAACTATCCAAGATAACACAGCTCTCCTGTTTAGAAATATTTTTGTAAGCTGGGGGTAGTGGCTCTGCCTATAATCCCAGCTACTGAGGAGGCTAAGTTGTGAGGATTGTGAGACCAGGGGTTTAAGACCAGCCTGGGCAACATAGTGAGACCCTGACTCTGTAAAAGAAAAACCAATTAGCCAGGTGTGGTGGCTTGCACCTTATAGTTCCATCTACTCGGGCGGCCGAAGCAGGCGGATCTCTTGAACACAGGAGGCTGAGGCTGCAGTGACCTATGATTGCACCACTGCACTCCATCCTGGGGAACAGAGGGAGACCCTGTCTCAAACAAAACAAAAAGTTTCCTAGAAACCCTTCTGTGAGTTCCTGAGACCCCTACTGACCTCCCCAGGCCCAGATCTAGATGCCGCTCCTCTTGCAGGTCCCCTGGCTGGCCCTGGGATACACCTGCCTCAGCTCCATCTGGCAGACACCCATCCAATGTGTCTTGACTCCAGCAAGCCTCTCTGAAGCAGTCCCTGTCCCTCTGCCCTTGGGATACCTCTAAGGGTTCGTCCTACTTCATCATGGTCTCCCACACCTAGCCCAGGGCCAGGCATGGTGGGGTGAGGCAGGCACGTGGATCTGAGTGAATGGGAGCTGTGAGAAGAGCAGGCTTTGGCTGGGCATCAGACCTAACTCCCACTGGCCCACTATGACGCTTCTCTCCAGCTCACAATTTCCCCCAAACATCCTATGGTGATTTAGACTTGAATGCCCTTGCTTCTCTCCGGTTTCACACTCACAGAAAATCGCTCTCCTCTTCCAAGATCCCCTGTGGAATTCATGGAGGCTGCTTTGGGGGTGGGACAGGTGGGTGAAGAGGGAAAGCAATGTCTCTTGGGTCACTGGCTACTCTAGGTCCCTTCTGGACAGATCAGACCTACTTTTTCTTTGGAAGAAGAGCCATATTGACTTCCTGTATGCTTGCATCCAGCATGGCTACAGCAAGCCCTGACCCTCGATCTTCACTCGGCCCTGCTGCCCTGTCTTGCCACCCGCACAGCCCACCCACACCTCTGCCAAGGACCAGCTGCAGCTTTAGTGCCACCTTCTGGAAGAAAGGAGCAACACCTCCACTTTTCAAAGAAGGAATTCCAGATCTGCCACTGTTTGGAATATCGATTCCGTTGATCCAAACAGGTATTTACAATGAGTCTATTATATGTCATACACCATCTAGGCTCTGAGGATGAAGTGGTGAACAAAATAGAGCTTGTATTCTTGGTGGGGATCAATGACAACTAAGTAATTTCAGACTGTAGTAAGCACCATGAAAGAAATAAGCAAGGTGATGTGATGGAGGGAACTGGTACGGAGCTTCTTTAAATTCTCAGGAAAGAATGTCCTGAGAAAGTAACATTTGGCTGTGCACAGTGGCTTATACCCGTAAACCTAGCACTTTGGGAGGCTGAGGTGGAAGGATCACTTGAGCTCAGGAGTTCGAGACCAGCCTAGACAACATAGTGAGACCTCATCTCTACTAAAAAACAAAACAAAACAACAACAACAACAACAACAAAACCTCTCTTCCTCGGCGCTGCCTACGGAGATAGCAGCAATCTCCTCGGCATCATGGCCACCCTTAGACCCCTTGTGAAACCCAAGATCATCAAAAAGAGAACCAAGAAGTTCATCCGGCACCAGTCAGACCGATATGTCAAAATTAAGCGTAACTGGTGGAAACCCAAAGGTATTGACAACAGGGTTCGTAGAAGGTTCAAGGGCCAGATCTTGATGCCTAACATTGGTTATGGGAGCAAGAAGAAAACAAAGCACATTCTGCCCCAGTGGCTTCCGGAAGTTCCTGGTCCACAACGTCAAGGAGCTGGAAGGGCTGCTGATGTGCAACAAACCTTACTGTGCTGAGATTGCTCACAATGTTTCCTCCAAGAACCACAAAGCCATCATGGTAAGAGCTGCCCAGCTGGCCGTCAGAGTCACCAACCCCAATGCCAGGCTGCGCAGCAAAGAAAATGAGTAGACAGCTTACGTGCACATTTTGTGTTTAAATAACACTGGCATCTTCCTTCCTTAAAAAAAAAAAATTAAAAAATTTTTTTAAAAAGAGGAAGAAAGAAAAAGAAAGTGATATTCATAAAGGATGGGAATTAGCCAAATGTGAGGAGAGTTTAGAGGGAAAGCATTACAGGTAGAGGAGACAATACAGACCTGAAGGGCCCAAAGAGCTTAGACTATTCAAAGGACAGGAAGGAGACCAGTGTGGCCAGAGTGTAGTGAATGAAGCCAGGCACGGTTGCTCACACCTGTAATCTCAGCACTTTGGGAGGCCGAGGCAGGTGGATCCCTGAGGTCAGGAGTTTGAGACCACCCTCACCAATATGGTGAAACCTGTCTCTACTAGAAAACACAAAAATTAGCCAGGTGTGGTGGCAGGTGCCTGTAGACCCAGCTACTTAGGAGATTGAGACAGGAGAATTGCTTGAACCCAGGAAGCGGAGCTTGCAGTGAGCCAAGATTGTGCCACTGCACTCCAGCCTAGGTAACAGAGTGAGACTCCATCTCAGAAAAAGAGAAAAAAAGGGAAAAGAAAAGAAAACAGAAAAGCAGAGTGTAGTGGATGAGAGGGTAGGTGGAATGAGTTGGGGTGGGGGAGGTGCACAGGAGCCAGATCATCCGGGGCCTTTTAGCCCAGGGTGAGAATTGGAATTTTATTTTGAAAGCAGCCAAGGCCGGGCGCAGTGGCTCAAGCCTGTAATCCCAGCACTTTGGGAGGCCGAGGCGGGTGGATCACGAGGTCGAGAGATCGAGACCATCCTGGTCAACAAGGTGAAACCCCGTCTCTACTAAAAATACAAAAAAAAAGTTAGCTGGGCATGGTGGTGCGTGCCTGTAATCCCAGCTACTTAGGAGGCTGAGGCAGGAGAATTGCCTGAGCCCAGGAGGCGGAGGTTGCGGTGAGCCGAGATCGCGCCATTGCACTCCAGCCTGGGTAACAAGAGTGAAACTCCGTCTCAAAAAAAAAAAAAAAAAAAAAAAAAAAAAGCAGCCAAAAGTCACTGAAGGCATTTAAACAGAAAAGTACAGTATGTTTTTAAAAAACATTGCCCCATAGAAATAAAAACAAACAAATGTTTTCCTGACACTGTGCAGAGAATTGATTAGAGAGGATTAAAAGTTGGGTGGAAGAGAACATTCAGAGGCTTATATGAGAGCTTGTTGGTGGCTCAGGCTGGGTAGGCACACACTGAAAGCTTCCTGTCTACAAAGTGTGGGCCAAGTAATCCTGCTTTCTTCCACTTAGATAAGGCATACGCAGAAGCTGTTTATGCATTATGATTCCAGGGAAAGGGAGATTAGTTTCTGCAACAAGTACTGAGTGAGCAACTATGTGACAGGCTCTGTTCTGAGTATGGAGAGACAGCAGAATCCTGCCTCTACAGACTTTTTCCCTGCCTTGAAAAACTGTGAACATGAATGTCATGAATGTTACAGGGAAGGGGAAGGAGATTTGAACATATGTAGCAGTGTCAGAGAAGGTTGAGAGCTCCCGGCCTGAGGTCTGAAGAAAGAGTAAGAGTTGGCCAGGCAAACAGAGAAGGGGAGTAAGAGAGTATTTCAGGGAGAAGGAACAGCATGTGCTAAATCCCAGAAGCCAAGGAGATCATGGTGGAGTCAAGGAACAGAAAGGCCAGTTGGCTGGAGCACAAAGATTGAGGGAAGGCGGTGCAAGATGAGGCTGAGGATGAAGGCAGAGGCAGATGGTCCACAACATGGCTTTGTGGGTTATGTTAAGCATTTTGGTCCTTATCCTAAGAGCAGAGGGAGGCCATTGAAGACTTTTAATTAGGGAAGCCATATGATAGATTGAGAGTATAGAAAGACCTATCAGCTGCTCTGAGGAGAAAGAATTGGAGGAGGTGAAAGGGGAAGCTGGAAGGCTAATGAAGAGGCTGCTCATGTAATGTTCCAAGAATGAATGGTATTGATGAGCGCAGGACGAATGGAGGCAGCGAAGATAGAAGAGGACTGGTTTGGCAGCTGGTAGGACTGGATGCAACTGAGATGAAGACGGAGAAGGGGAGACAGAACAAAAGTGATGTCTTAAACTGGTTATTCTAGTTAGCAGTAAAGAAAAACAAGCGATGTCTAGATTTCTTTTTTATTTGTTTGTTTTTGAGACGTCTCAGTGTTGCCCAGGCAGGAGGGCAGTGGCACCATCATGGCTCACTGCAGCCTCCATCTCCCGAGCTTCAGTGATCCTCCTGCCTCATTTTTTGGCTTTTTTTGTAGAGACCAGGTCTCGCTATCTTGCCAAGGCTGGTCTCAAACTCCTGGGCTGAAGCCCTCGGCTTCCCGAAGTGCTGGGATTACAGGTATGAGCCACAGAGCCCAGCGGTGCCTAGATTTCTATCTTGGAAAACAATGAGTGGCACTTCTAAACACAGCACCCACGAGCAAGCTTGGGGGACCAAAAAAATTCATTTGTCACTTGTTTGTAACATTTTCAGAAAAACAGGGAAGAAATCACACTTAGGAATTCCACTGTCATGGACAAGCTTACGCACTGTCAGCCCTACTACTACAGAACATTTCATTGGCCAGTATAAACAAGCAATATAAATTTCATTAGATAATGTAATTAGATGAGAAAAAGAAATAAACATTGGAAAGATATATGTAAAATTTTACATTTAATTTTATTTATTTTTGTTCATATATATATATATATATATATATTTGTTCTTATATATTTTTTAAAGACAGAGTTTTACCATGTCACCTTGAACTCCTGGATCTGGGGGATCCGCCTGCCTTAGCTTCCCAAAATGCTGGGATTATAAGAGTAAGCCACTGCACCTAGCCTGATAAAATTATCTTTATTTGTCAATGTCATGTTCATACTCCAAGAGAACCCAAGTGAATCGACTGAAAAACTACTAAAAAAATGAGAAGTCTCAGTAAGGAAAAGAGGTATAAAAGTATTACACAAAAACAATCCCTTTTATATATACAAACTGTAATAAGCCAAATTGCATTGTTCACTGTGATAACCACACCACATTGCCTATTTAATCTTAAATTTAAAACAATCGAAATGAAATACAACGTAAAAGTCAGTTCCTCAATCATACTAATCACATTCTGAAGTCTCATCACCACATGTGACTATTGGTTATCATATAATAGAATATGCTGTATCAGAGCATTTCAATCATTTCAGAAAGTTCGATTGTTCAGTGTTGACTTAGAAGATACAGTGAAAAAAGTGACTTTATGAGAACAACAAAATGCTTCTGAATAAGAAGGAAATAATTCTTTGTCAAACCACATAACTTAGTTTTTGGTCATGGCCCCCCAAGTGGACCCCCCTGTATTTCAGGACATAGCTAAAGTATCATCTCTTTGGGAATCTTCCTTGATGCTTCCAACCTGAGTCAAAGATTCCTCCAAGATCTCCTAGAGCAAAACACAGTTAGCCTTCATTATTCACAGATTCCCTATTTGTGAATTTGTCTGCTTGCTAACATTTATTTATGACCCCATATGTTTTCCATTGCTAGTGTGTAGCAGTACAATTGATTTTTTTTATTATGAACTTTTTTTTTTTTTTTTTTGAGGCAGACTCTTACTCTGTCACCCAAGCTGGAGTGCAGTGGCGTGATCTCGGCTCACTGCAACTGCCGTCTCCCAGGTTCAAGCGATTCTCCTGCCTCAGCCTCCTGGGTAGCTGGGACTACAAGTGCCTGACACGATGCCTGGCTAATTTTTGTGTTTTTAGTAGAGAGGAGGTTTCACTGTTTGCCAGGCTGGTCTCAAACTTCTGACGTCAAGTGACCCGCCCACCTTGGCTTCCCAAAGTGCTCGGACTATAGGTGTGAGTCACCATGCCCAGCCTGAACTTTATTTATTTAAATAGGTTTTTGGGGAACAGAAGGCGTTTGGTTACATGAATAAGTTATTCAGTGGTGATTTCTGAAATTTTTGTATACCATCACCCGAGCAGTGTACATGGTATCCAATGTGTGGTCTTTTATCCCTCACTCCCTCGACCCTTTCCCCTGAGTCCCCAAAGTCTATAGGATTATTATGCTTTTGTGCCTGGTCAAACCAATCCCCTGAGCCCTATGCAAATCAAATATGGCCTCCTCCAGCCTCTTTACATACCTAGCTGGTATCTGTAGCTCGTGGGGTCTCCTCTCTCGGCTTTGGAGCCCCTCTCCCTCTGTCTCCATACAGGGGAGCTTCTGCCTTTTATTCTCTCTCTTCCTTCTTGCCTTTTATTTTATTTATTTATTTTTTTGAGACGGAGTTTCGCTCTTGTTGCCCAGGCTGGAGTGCAATGGCGCGATCTCGGCTCACCGCAACCTCCGCCTCCTGGGTTCAGGCAATTCTCCTGCCTCAGCCTCCTGAGTAGCTGGGATTGCAGGCATGTGCCACCATGCCCAGCTACTTTTTTGTATTTTTTAGTAGAGACGGGGTTTCACCATGTTGACCAGGATGGTCTCGATCTCTTGACCTCGTGATCCACCCGCCTCGGCCTCCCAAAGTGCTGGGATTACAGGCTTGAGCCACCGCGCCCGGCCCTTCTTGCCTTTTAAACCCTCCATTCCTTAAAACCACTCCACGTGTGTTCATGTCATTTGTTTTATCTAAACTGGCATGAGGACCAAGAACCCTGGTGTTCCTCCACTTACTGGAGCCGTATTGTCACTGCCACAGCCTGGGCAACAGAGTGAGACTCCGTCTTAAAAAAAAAAAACAAAAAAAACAAAAAACAAAAAAAACTGTTGTGATCAGAGGCTCTCAGAAACCTAATTTTGTATTCCCCATTTCCCCTAGGAACAATGGTCTAGTATTTGCTAATTCAGTGTTCATGGTGCCTATATGGGCTATAATAACTACAAGTCATAAGAACCAAGTGTACGTGTCTGTGTCTCTCCTAGGCTTTGAGCTCCTAGGGCAGGACCCACCTTGGATCACAAGTCTTTGTATATCTAGGATATAACACAGTGCCTAGCAC